TTTTTTTTTTAAATTGAGACAGTCTCAAGCTGTAGCCCTGTATGGAGTACCATAGTGACATCATAGCTCACAGCAACCTCCAACTCTTGGTCTCAAGTGATCCTCTTGCCTCAGTTTTTTGTATTATTAGTAGAGATGGGGTCTTGCTCTAGCTCAGGCTGGTCTCGAACTTGTGAGCTCAAGCAATCCACCCATCTTGGCCTCCCAGAGTGCTAGGTGTGAGCTACCATAGTCGACCACGAATTTAAATTCTTATTCTCTGTGGGTTTCAGAAATAAAAATTCTAAAAGATTTGCCAGGGTTATACATTTCAATGAGTAAGCATTTGTTTATTCCATAGTGCTTCAGGGGACCTGAAGAAATGGGTGCAGTGTCCATCCTAATAGAGACTTGGCCAGTGGCTACCCTTAGGCTCAACCCAACTCCCCATGTTTAAGGTGGCTGTGCTACTTGTGCTTGATTTCAGTTCTACTTTTCTTCTGGCCTTTAGTTTTTGATACAGAGTCTAACTATGTCACCCTCAATAGAATACTGTGGTGTCATAGCTCATAGCAACGTCAAACTCTTGGAGTTAAGGGATTCTCTTGTCTCAGCCTCCCCAGTAGCTGGGACCACAGGTACCGCCACAATGCCTAGCTGTTTTTTTTGTTGTTGTTGCAGTTGTTGTTGTTTAGCAGGCCTGGGCTGGGTTCAAACCGGCCAACCCTGGTGTATGTGAACAGCACCCTAACCACTGAACTATAGGTGCCTGGCCTGTTCTGGCCTTTTAACTTGTGGAAACAATAGTATTCCATTGATTAGTAGGTTTGAAAAAGTAAGATTATCATATAATAGCCTTTTTTCCCAGACATTTCCAACAGTACTGTGTAAACATTTTTTTTCCTATTGCCTGCTTAAGAGTGCATCATTTGCTGCAAAAATTGGTAGAATACTTTGTGCTAGCTAGGTATGACTAATTGTTGTATTTAATTAGAATTAGTAATGGATTCTAGTAAACAAGAAGTAGGGAGAGCAAGTTAACTTTAAAAGGCATGATACAAAGCTGACGTGTGTGGTACTTTTCACTTTATAAAATTGAGGGAAATAGCTATTTTGCTCAGATGACACATTAGTGATTGCTCCTACCTTTAAAAACATATTTGTGACTTTTATTTACTTTAAATATTTTTATGATGTCTACTATTTTTTTCATACTATAAAAGAATAAATCTGAGCCTGTAATTTTTATTTGCTGCATAATTGAATGAATGTACTTATATTTTTTGTCTCTTGTATTGTTCAACATTGAGTTTCATTTCAGGTATTCACTGTTAATGAAAGTGCTAATAGATATCCTGGATCTTTGAATTTGCCCTCTGTTTTGTTGAATTTATTAGGATGGTAATTACCAGTATAAAGACTTACCTACACTGTGTCAGGTGTTGTCTTAATCAAACCAGAGCACCCTAGCACTGTGGGAGGCTCAGGCAGAAGGATTGCTTGAGTTTGCGAGTTCAAGACCAGCCTGAGCACGAATGAGACCCGATCTCTGCTAAAAATAGAAAAATTAGCTGGACATGGTGGCATACCTGTATTTCCAGCTACTTGGAATACTGAGGCAGGAGGATTGCTTGAACCCTGGAGTTTGAAGTTGCAGTAAACTATGATGATGCCGTTGTTATAATAGTTGCTTAACTTATTCCTTGATGGTACTGCTAATGTGTCATAGATAATTTAAAATAGTGATACACTCCAGCATTACTTAATGACAGGCATATAATCTGAAAATTCATTGTTAGGTGATTTCATTGTTGTGTGATCATAGAATATACAGATTTCAATAGTATATTGTGGTACACACCTAGACTATTTGGTGTAGTGTCTACAAATCTGTATAGCATGTTACTATTTGGTGTAGTGTCTACAAATCTGTATAGCATGTTACTGTACTGAATACTATAGGCAGTAACAGTGGTGGTTAAGTATTTAAACATAGAATTCAGTAAAATAGAGTACTAAAGATAAAAACATGATATACCTGTGTACGGTACTTGCCACAAATGGAGCTTGAAGTACTGGAAGCTGCTCCAGGTGAGTGGCCTAGGACATTATTGTACACTACTATAGACTACTGCATACTTTATACACAAACACTATATATTCAGTGCTACACTGAAGTTAACTTTTTTACTCTTGTAATAAACTTAACATATAACCATGTACAACTACACAAATACTTTCTTTATAACCTTATTGTATAAGCTTTTTTCTGTTTTTAAAATTATTTACTTTTTAACCTTTTTAGTTAAAATTAGCCTAGGCTCATATAGGCTCAATATCATTATCTTCATCTCTGCATTTTGTTCCACTGGAGGGTCCTCAGGGGCAATAACATAAATGGAGCTGTCATCTTTTATTATTCCTCCTGAAGGACCTGCCTGAGACTGTTTTACAATGAACTTTTTTCCTTTTTTAGATAGGAGGAGTGCACTCTAACATTAACAATAAAAAGTATGATATAGTAAATACGTAAAGTAGTAATATTGTAGTTTTTTATTATCGAGTATTAGATACTATACATAATTGTATGTGCTGTACTCTCATATAACTGGCAGTGTGTTAGGTTTGTTTATCCCCACATCATCACCAACACATGAGTAATGCATTATGCTAGGACGTCAAGAGAATGCAGAAACTTTTCATCTGCTTTATAATTTTATTAGGATCATTATGTGGATATGATTTAGGTTTTCAGATAGAATTGAAATAACTGAGAGCTAATAATTGCAGAGTAATATTATCAGTGTTTGTGCTTTTACTCTGAGGACATTTCCAATTTTCAAATAAAATGGTTGTATAATAGGTTTTTTAAAATGCTGTCTTACAGTATACTGAATAAAGGCTAAAATATCAAAGAATCCTTTTTATGCCAATAGAAATAAACAATAAAATCCCTTTGGCCTAAAAATGTGTGAGTTTTTACTATGTTAATATCAAATTATTATTACTTTTCTTCTTAAACAGTGTGTCATCCCTTTTTAGTTATAGGAGTATGACTCATAAAGTGATCCACCTGAACCAGTCTAATTAAATCACTCCTCGAGGGACAGAATGAATGTGTTTTTAAAGTATTGGATTCTAGTTTTGTATTTGGTATGTTGGATAGCAACTTAAAGAAAAATAGACCAAAGTCTTCTAAATTTGTAATACTAAGATTTTCCTTGGTAATAATATCTGTTCTTTGTATTTCTGAAAACTTGAATTATGTGCACTTTCAAATAGCTCAGGAGTACTTACTACAGACTAGCATCTTTTGAAGGGCAGAAGCTTTGGCAAGAAAATGGGGTATTTTCAATCTTTGCTAAATTAAAGCATTTCCTTTTTTATGCTGAAGTTTCTTTATTATGACAGGACCCAGTTTGCTCTTTGTTGGGAGGTGGCTGTATGCTTTAAAAAAGAAAAACAATAAAGTCAAAGGGAAAAAACAAAACTTTAATCTGGTTGTAGATATGGGTCATTTGTGCTCCCTCTAGTGGTGGTCCCAGAGCCTTACTTTCGTAAATTTACCACCCAAAAGAGACTGTAGCAAGCCTGTCAGTGTTCAGAGGTGGTCAAAATAAGGAAGTAGGCCTCCTATACTGATCCATATATGTGGTGCATGTCTGGTTATTAAAATTCAGTCAACTTAAGGAGGTGGTCAGCTAAGGAGATTCTACTGTATAATTTTGTTATTGTAGTCACATGAATATCTAAGCTGCTACCCCTGCAGTCTAAAGTTTAAGGCTGGTCACTTGGCAACACTAAAATGAACAAAGGATTTCTATGCAGAATAGATAAACAACTACACCAAATAAGAAAAGACAACCTTGCAGGAAAATAAGAATAGTGAACTGGAGTCTTGCAGTAGAAGAAATACAGTTAAATCTGTGGGAAATTTTTCAGATTTACTGTAGTCAGAAAAGTTAAGGCAGTAAGCTAACTTTTTGTGCCCTTGGGCAAAAATTTAAAGTTGTAACTTGTGCTTTTGAAGATTTAGGGTAATTAATCACTCCCATACTTTGTTCCTCAGACAAGTATTACATCTTTTGTGGTAAATTAATCCTGTTGATATAGGATTTATTTATTTATTTATGAATGAGACATGTTGCTTTCTCACCTAAGCTGGAATATAGTGGGGTGATCATAGCTCACAACATCCTTAAACTGCTAGACTCAAGAAATCTTCCTACCTCAGCCTTCTGAGTAGCCAGGACTATAGGCAAGTGCCATTACGTCTGGCTTTCTTTTTGCAGAGATGGGATCTTGCTTTGTTGCCTTGGTCTTTGGGCACATATAGTCCTCCTGCCTTGGCTTTGCAAAGTGCCAGGATTAGAGGCAAGAGCCCTCTCTGCACCTGGTCCCAATGTATAGATTTGCAGTTTAAATACATGTTTGCTTTGATTCATCAGTCCCACACTTGAGCCTTTGTACTGTAGAAATAATAGTGTTTGTATATTTTATTTTATATTAACTGATAAATGGTAGACTACTTTAATAACAAGTTTTCTCTATGAAACAAGCCATGTGGTTAAAAATCATTTGTTCAACTTAGACTATTTTGATAAAGTTAGAAATTAGTTTTTTTGGCTTGTAATATTATTTTACTTGTAACAACATTCTATTAAAAAAATCTAAATGTTGATAGCATACGGTATTTTTAAAGAAAATCTGTAGAATTGCCTCAGAATTCTTACTAAGTAAATATTTGTTAATGATGCTTCTGATTTTAGACTGGGCATTTAGCTATGGAGACATTATTGTCCCTCACTTCCAAACGAGCAGGAGACTGGTTTAAAGAAGAACTCCGGCTTTTGGGTGGTCTGGATCATATTGTAGATAAAGGTATGGATATGCACATGAATGACATTTTTATATATTATTTGAAGCCTGAAAAAATATTCACATAATTCAGAAAATAATTGTGTTGGGTTGAAAAGGTCTATTTTTTTTAGTAGCATCCTATATAAATCTTTCAGTTTTAAAGAAAAGGTCATTAACATTTTGGTATGGGGGGTTATGGAAATAAATTATTTTTAATATATGTAGTAGGATACATTTCAAAATCTTTCAGTATTAAACATAAAATAATGTTCAGAGAGTTTCCATCAGATTCATATTATGTGGACAGATAGGTTTTAATATACTCTAAAGAGTAAATAATGAGGTGATAAATACTAATGTCCCTTTTTTCCACTTAGTTAAAGAATGTGTGGATCATTTAAGTAGACATGAGGATGAAGAGAAACTAGTAGCTTCCTTATGGGGAGCGGAGAGATGTTTACGAGTTTTAGAAAGTGTAAGTATAAAAAAAAAAACCCCAACAAAGTGTAAGTATGAATCATTATTTAAAGAAAATTATTCAGGCTTAATTATTATTGTATGTATGTGTGAGAGATAAAGCCAAATATTTTATATAGGGTTTTGCCTCTGTTTTTTCAAGTTGAATTTGTAATGAATTCTTTGAGCAACGAGTTATTAATGAATAGGTTAAATAAATGAGTTTTGCATTTTAAACCTACATATATTATTGGTCCAAATGAAATGTCAGGTTTGCTTATATGTGCCAGACTTTATTATTCATTCCTTAATATGGCTTTCTCCTTAAATACATTATTTACTTATTTGTAATAAACAACAAGTAAATGCAGCCTGGTTTTTCTTTTCTCAGTTTTATTTGAGTCAAATTTTTGTAGGCACAGCTTGTTATAATATTTTTGCTTTAGAGAATGATACTGTTGAACTGCATTAAGTATATTTTGTTCTTTTATGAATGACTTAACCCAGTTCAGTATAGATTAGAATTAATATTGAGAGTGAATTTCAGGATGCATAGAATGTTAACCAGTTTGGATTAGCTAAAACATCTGTGGGGAAAATAATATTGGCCTAGATGAAATAAAAATTGTTCTTTATTTTAGAGTGCTTCAGGTACACTGGATAATGAATGTTATTCTTTTGTAAAAATATATTCTAAATTAATCTACTTAAGAATTTAAAAGTATTAGTTTGTTTAGTTCGGGAATGCTCTTTTCTGATGTTTAAAGTATTTGGTAATTTGTTTACAGTGAATCTAAAGTATAGAGTACATTTATTATGGGCAGTGCCTATAGCTCAGTCAGTAGGCGCCAGCCTCATATACTGAGGGTGGCAGGTTCAAACCCAGCCCCGGTCAAACTGTAACAATAAAAATAGCCCTTGTAGCAGGCACCTATGGTCCCAGCTACTTGGGAGGCTGAGGCAAGAGAATCGCCTAAGCCCAAGAACTGGAGGTTGCTGTGAGCTTGGTGACAAAGTGAGACTCTTGTCTCTAAAAAAAGAGAATACATTAATTATGAATGAGTAGTTATAATAGTGATTGATTCGGCACCTTAGCTCAAGTGGCTAAGACACCAACCACATATACACCAGAGCTGGCAGGTTCGGATCCAGCCTGGGCCAACCAAACAACAGTGACAACTACAACCAAAAAATAGCCGGGCTTTGTGGCGGGTGCCTATAGTCCCAGCTACTTGGGAGGCGGAGGCAGGCGAATTGCTTAAGCCCAAGAGTTGGAGGTTGCTGTGAGCTGTGATGTCATGGCACGTTGCCCAGAGTGACAGCTTGAGGCTCTGTCTGGAAAAAAAAAAAAGCGATTGATGCCTTAATTTTGTACTAAAGCACTACCTCTCTTATTTTACAACCTGGAATGCATGGATTGTGAAGTTATTCCATTAGATGACAAGGACTGTTTTTTTCTCAGTATTTGTATCTTTTAGGGCAACAGAGAGAATATGGTATTATGTCAATGAATGAAAGTTAGAGATTCTCACAGTTATTTTATTCTTCCATTTTAGGTAACAGTGCATAATCCAGAGAATCAAAGCTACTTGATAGCATATAAAGATTCACAACTCATTGTTTCATCAGCTAAGTAAGTTTTTCTGAGATCTAATGTTGTTTATTTCAAATACTTGGATTGACTATAAAGGGAATAAAATTGTATTTCTTTATAAAATGCTTTGCTGAGTTCTGTGAATCAGAGTACAGCATGGAGTACAGATTTTGGAACCAAAATAAGATTGAGTGTGGATTTCACATTGATAACTTCAGCTGCTTAACTATGGGCAAGTCACTTATTTGCTACAAGTTCTTTACAGTGGGGTTAAAAATTGTACCTGATCCACTTAGGATTGTTTTAAAATGACAATACATATGTTTTTATATATATATATTTTAAACTATATGCATATTAAATTTATGTATATATAAAATATTTAAAAATTTTAAATGATCTTAAAAGTGTGTTGTATGTTATATATAGTATATATTAACTAAATTAGTTAATATGTAAAGCCTTAAACAATGGTTGGTATATAATAAACAATAATAAGCATTACTCCTTATTTTTGTTATAAATGGACTGTTTTAGCCTCCTTCTGCCCTTTATTTATATGTGTTTTTCTAGAACTGTATGTAGTTTCTCCCATTTCACATTCTTGCTTGCCCATCTTTCATCACAATTAGGCTAATGTTATCACCTCAGTGCATGTAAAATTCCCAAGTATGTCTCCAATCCTGATTCTGCCTTATTACAGCAGCCTCTTCCTGATATCTCTGTCCTGGTTCTTTTATTTCTGCCCTGCTTCTTTGGCCTTTAGTCCAGTAGCACAATACCATGTGGAGTTAATTTTCTCCAAATCTCTACTTTGAAAAAATAATCCTTAACTCCCATATCTCCATGACTCCTTATTATCTTTGGATATATATGCAGTTTTCTTAGGAAGTAGGTCTTATTAAAGACCCACTGCAGCCTGACTCTATTTTATCTATTTTTATAACCTCTTTTATTATAGAGAATTTCAACAATAGACAAAGTAAACAAAATAATACAATGAGTATACTTTACTCAGCTTAATTATGAATTACAGCCAGTTTTATTTCCATCTGTAACCCCTTACATTATTATTTTGAAGCAAACCCAGATATTATCATTTCATCTGTAAGTACTTCAATATAAGGTTTTAAAGAAAAGGACTCACATGGTGTAAATTATTAATTTTTTAATATAGTTTTAGTCAATATTTAAATATCTAGTAATCTTCATCAGTGGTCTCAATCTTTACAATGGATTTTCTTAATCTGTTGTAGATTTCTTCATCTCTTTTTTTTCTCTAGTGTTTTCAAGTTTTATGTGTTTTTTTTTTTTAATTAAGACAGTCTTGGCTCGGCACCTATGGCTCAAGTGGCTAAGGCGCCAGCCACATACAACTAAGGTGGCGGGTTCGAATCCAGCCCGGGCCGCCAAACAACAATGACGGCTGCAACCAAAAAATAGCCGGATGTTGTGGTGGGCATCTGTGGTCCCAGCCGCTTGGGCGGCTGAGGTAGGAGACTCGCTTGAGCCCAGGAGTTGGAGGTTGCTGTGAGCTGTGATGCCACAGCATTCTACCCAGGGGGACAGCTTGAGGCTCTGTCTCAAAAAAAAAAAAAAAAAAGACAGTCTCTTTGTCACCCTTGGTAGAGTGCTATGGCATCATAGTTCACAGCAACCTCAAACTCTTGGGCTCAAGAGATCTTTTTGCCTCTGCCTCCCAAGTAGCTGGGACTACAGGTGCCCACCACAATACCTGGCAAATTTTTAGTGACTGAGTCTTGTTCAGGCTGGTCTCTAACATGTGACCTCAGGCAGTCCACCCGCCTTGGCCTCCCAGAGTGCTAGGGTTCCAGACATGAGCCACGATGCCTAGCCCATTTATATATTTTATATTACATTTTAATACTCTTGATGCATACATTCTAGTTGTTTTATTACCATATTTTACTTGCCCTTATCAAAGAGTATTCTTGTAAGTTAAATCTTTCTGATTTTATTTTACTTTTATTTATTTATTTGAGACAAAGTTGAAAGCTGTCACCCTGGGTAGAGTGCCATGGCGTTATAATCATAGCAACCTCCAACTTTTGGGCTCAAGCAATCCTCTTGCCTCAGTTTTTCTATTTTTAGTAGAGATGGCGTCTCACTTTGGCTCCGGCTGGTCTCGAACTTGTAAGCTCAAGCAATCTACCCACTTCAGTCTCCCAGAGTGCTAGGATTACAGGAGTGAGCCACCAGGCCTGGTCAGAAAAAATTATTTTAGTTTGGAACCTTACAGAAAAATTTCTTCAGTTATGTTTTAGAGGGCACCTAGGGGTGGATTAGATGTGGTGTGGATTTCCTTATATTGTATGGCGTGTAATACATGAAGAATCAACTGACATAGCTTAATTAACCTATATGAGACTTAAAAAGTAAATTAATGGACTTATTGATTTAAAGAGAGTGTTTAGAAATACTAGACTTTTTTAAGGTTTATATTTCTTTGGTTCTTTGAGGGTATCTTTAAAATCCTTAGATGTAGGGCCTGGGGCGGTGGGAGCTGTGGCTGGACAAGCATTTAGAAAGTTTCTTCCACTCTTCAATTGAGTATTGGTTGAAAAGGTGTGCAACCAAAACTGTAACCAAAGGAGGCATTATGCTTCCAGAAAAATCTCAAGGAAAAATATTGCAAACAGTAGTGGCTGTTGGATTAGGCTCTACAGGAAAGGGTAGAGAGGTTCAACCAGTTAGTGTGAAATTTGGAGCTAAAGTTTTTCTCCTACGATTTGGAGGTACCAAAGTAGTTCTAGATGACAGGGGTTATTTCTTATTTGGAGATGGTGACATTCTTGGAAAGTATGTAAACTGAAATAAATCACTACTGATGAAATGGCCCATTCCACTGAAGTTCTGAAATCTTCCATCTTGTAAATAATTTCCATGTCTCTCTTTTATAAAAACTGATGATGTCTAAACTGCTGGAAAAAAAAAAAATCTTTCGATACAGCTCTGTATACCCTTGGATGGCTGTCAGGGGAACATGCCAGTTTGAAAGACTTACAATGATTTGCTTTAATGCATATGAAGTATTTAGTACTTTTTTTACAGCGTTATTTATTATGTAATATTAGTGTATTAATAATTGTTACCTGCCAAGAACTTGCTTTCTAAATGAGAACTATCTAAAACGAGATTCAGAAATGTCCAGCATTAGCTCGTAAAGTTTTACCTATTTGAGGAAGGGTTATGGTTTGTCCATTGTATTGGAGACATCAGTAGAATGTAAAACGGGGGAGAACTCCTGGAAAATAGTTTACTAGTGATAGATATAGTTAATACAGATACAAACTTCTGCCATGTGTTTTTAATTTTGCCTTTTCTTATAGAAATTTTAAAATTATATTTTTGCAAAATAATATGAAATTCAGTCTGACAGTATTATGTTCAAGTAAATAGAAATTTATTATGTACTGTTACTATTTACCATAATAGTCCACATTTTATTTTCTCTTAAGAGCATTACAACATTGTGAAGAACTGATTCAGCAGTATAACCGTGCTGAAGATAGCATATGCTTAGCTGACAGTAAACCTCTGCCTCATCAGAATGTAACTAACCATGTGGGCAAAGCAGTGGAAGACTGCATGAGGGCCATCATTGGGGTGTTGCTTAATTTAACTAATGATAATGGTAAGTATTTTTCTCCATATTTGTAATATACAAGATTGTATATTATACATTAAAACAAGTTATTCCCCTTTGTTTCTTCTTGTAATTTTGCTTTTAATTTTTTGAGACAATGTCACTTGGTTACTCTTGATAGAGTGCTGTGGTGTTATTGCTCACAGCAACCTCAAACTCTTGGGCTCAAGTGATCTATTGCCTCAGCCTCCCAAGTAGCTGGGACTACAGGTGCCTGCCACAAAGGCCAACTATTTTTATTTTTGCTTTTTAGAGATGGCATCTTGCTCTTGCTTGGGCTGGTCTCAAATACCTGAGCTCAAGTAATCCACCTGCCTCTGCCTCCTGGAGTGCTAAGATTACAGGTGTGAGCCACCATGCCTGGCCAATATAGTGATTTTTTTTTTTTTTTGAGACAGAGCCTCAAGCTGTCCCCTGGGTAGAATGCTGTGGCATCACAGCCCATAGCAACCTCCAACTCCTAGGCTCAAGTGAGTCTCCTACCTCAGCCTCCCACCTCAGCCTCCCAAGTAGCTGGGACCACAGGCACCCGCCACAATGCCTGGCTATTTTTTGGTTGCAGCCATCGTTTTGGTGGGCCTGGGCTGGATTCGAACCTGCCACCTTAGGTGTATGTGGCTGGCGCCTTAGCCACTTGAGCCACAGGCACCAAGCCAATATAGTGGTTTTTATTTTATTATTTTATTTTTTTTGAGACAGCCTCAAGCTGTCCCCCTGGGTAGAGTGCCATGGCATCACAGCTCACAGCAACCTCTAACTCCTGGGCTCAAGGGAGTCTACTGCCTCTGCCTCCCAAGTAGCTGGGACCACAGGTGCCCACCACAACGCCTGGCTATTTTTTGGTTGCAGCCGTCATTGTTGTTTGGTGGCCCCGGGCTGGATTTGAACCCCCCACCTTAGGTGTATGTGGCTGGCGCCTTAGCCACTTGAGCCACAGGCGCCGAGCCAATATATTGGTTTTTAAAACCACCATAATATACTTGACTTACTCATTTGTAGGTTTAAATTGCTTTTAGGCTAGAGTGCAGCAATGTCATCATAGCTCACTGCAACCTCAGACTTCTGGGCTTGAGTGATCCTTTTACCTCCTCAGCCTCCCAAGGGACTATAGGCATATACTACCACGCCTGGCTACTTTTTCTATTTTTTGATAGGATGAGGTCTTCCTCTTGCTCAGGCTGATCAAAAACTTGTGAGCCACCACTGTTGGCCAGAAGTTGATAATTTTAGAACTTAAAAGGTTGGTCCAGAAATATCAAGATTGTATTTCAGTAAAAGAATAACTGTGTAATTCTAAAGTATTAACTTTTAATAAATACTGGTTTATTGTTGTCAAAAGTAAGAATAAGTAACAATTTTTGTATTTCCATTTCTTATGTCAGAGTGGGGCAGCACCAAAACTGGAGAACAGGATGGCCTCATAGGCACAGCAATGAATTGCGTGCTTCAGGTTCCAAAGTACCTACCTCAGGAGCAGAGATTTGATATTCGAGTGCTGGTAAGTTGAAATGTCTGTTTCAGAAATAATTATTTTATCTATTTGAAGTTGAAAAAGTTCATTTTAGTTTTAGTTTAAGAACCAGTTTAATACATCGTAGGTTGTATTGATAAATTTTACATAGATGTACTTCTTATTGTACAAAAGACAACCTGAAGGATTCCACTATAAAAAACAGTAAGTATGGACACTAAAAGTGGTGATTAAAAATGAAAGGAATGATTTTTTTGGAAGACAGTATCTTTCTTATATAATACTTTTTAGCCATTTTTCAGAGGCTAAGACACTGATTAACAGGTTTTTATGCTGTCAGTAAAAATTACGTATATTCGTTTGTTTTAAGTTCTTATTGCATCTTTTAAAATTTTTGTAGGGCTTAGGTCTCCTGATAAATCTAGTGGAGTATAGTGCTCGGAATCGGCACTGTCTTGTCAACATGGAAACATCGTGTTCTTTTGATTCTTCCTTCTATAGTGGAGAAGAAAATGATAGTTTAAGGATACCTGGACAAGTTCATGCTGTTCAGGCTTTAGTGCAGGTAAGCAATAACTTAAACACAAACTAATATCCTGTAGTTTGTTGCATTTCCCAATTCCTTTATCAATTACACTTTTTAAATCTCCTTGCCCTGTGTTTTATTTATTTATGTTTTTCTTTGGAACTTCTGAAAGCTTATCTTTGCTTGGGTAGGGAGGGGAATATCTTTTAGATCTGACAAATTCTTAAATGTTCATAGTTTTTAGGGTGAAACTCTATTTAAACCAGAATTTTTTAACCAATTAAAAAATGTGCAATCTCTCTGTGGATCAGTGAGAGGTCTATTAACTAGACTTCAGGCCTTATTTAGTTTCATAATTTTAACTTACATTTATTGATGTGTATGTGTAACATGCATAGTTCTATGCAATTTTATTCCCTGTGTAGATGCACGTACTCACTACTACACTAAGGTGCAGAAAGAACTATCACCATAATAGTTCTGTTCTCAATCTCTTATCTTTTCAAGAATGTTGTATAAATGGAATAATATGTAACCTTTTGAGTTTGACTTGTTTTCATTAAGCTTGTATCTTTGAGGTCTATTCAGGTTCCTACATATACTGTTCTGAGTAGATATTTCCTTGTATGGTTGTACTAGAGTTTTTTTCAAACATTCTGGTCCCTGTATAATGGAACATAAAAGGAGTAAAGATACACTATTGGGGGAAGGGGTGAAAAAAAAAAAAAAGATATACTATCAATGGCTTTGGGAGTAGTTTTCGAAGAAATAAATAATTGATCTACATTATTCACGTAGTAGGGGTTAATTTGCAGAAAGTATTCCCACATTCCAGGAGATCCTTGTTTATGGGTTGTTTTAGGAATAGGCTCAGATTTTTCTGCTCTATCTAATGAACCTAGGAATATGTGGTATATCCAGCCCAGTATTTCTCTTTTGTACTGCATGTTATAGAAGTACCCTATCATCAGAATATCATTCTGTGTCATGCCTGGCTTTCTTTTACCTGCTATGGTTTCTCAGTTTTTAACCAGTCTGAAGTTTTATCTTTAGATTGTAAAACAGTTGAGTGATAGGTTCTGTTGCTCTTATTTTAGAAAATATCTTCTACTCATTTACCTTAAGTATTAAGAAATGGCTCTTGATTCTCATTTTCAAAGATAGAGTAGAAAAATTAATGTTCAGATTTATATCCTTCCTACTATTGATAATATTGATCTTAATCTAGTAATTTTTAAATTAGGTAATTCTGTTTACTGACATGAATGTTCTTCTGTTGTTTCTCTTTTCTACTTTTGAAAAATTAGTTTATCTTAAAAATCAAAAGTAATTTATGTATATAGGTTAAAAAAATTACTTTTAGTAAGGTTTAAAATCCGTATTTCCTGAAAAGCTACTATTTGTAAGTTTTGTATCTGTCCTGAGAAATTAGTGTTTGTGCACCTATGAAAATAAATGTGTACTCCTTTTTATGTAAATGGAATTTGATTATATACAGTGCTCAGTGTGTATTGTTTCTTGTTTTTTTTTTTTTGACATTTCTTTATTGTGCAAAAGTAATCAACACTGTGGGTCCACCAGCATGCTGCTGCAGCTCATGTGGGCTAATTGCGTTGCTTCTAGGGCAGAGGAGTCTGGGTAGGGGGAAACTGATGAAGGGGAGATACACTACAGGCCTGGGGACTGCCAAGCACACCAGCTGGGAGCTCCTGAAGGGCAGAGACACAGACACAGGACACTATGACCAAGAGCATGGCACACAATGACAGGGAGGATGGTGGGGCAGCTACTGCCCTCTTCCCCCATGTGTTCCCTAGGAGGAGCTGGGGACCTGGGGCCGAGAAGCCCAGCTGTGTCACTCCAGAATCACATGGCTTGGTGCAAGCACAGACTGTCCCACCTTATGCATCTGTAAATTGGCAACAGTAAAGGGAACTTCACAAAGCTTCCATTAGCACACATGAGACTGAAATAGGGATATTTATCAAAGTAATCAATGCAGAGCCTGGCATATAGGGGTTTTTTGTCTGGAAAATCTCAGCTCAGAGGATCTTCTTCAGAAAGCCAAAATATGAGATAACTTCCCTAGAAATTGTCTCAGGGCATTGGGACCCTTGAGGACTCCTTGGAGCCTACGGCCCCCAGAGTGCCCTGAGCCCCAGAATATATGTGCCAGGGCAACTGATGGGGTTGGGGCACTGGACCCCCGGGGAGGTTCCCACAGAAGCTGGGTAGACACTGGAGGAATTGGGGTTGGGACCATGATGGTTCTGCATATAACATAGGCCAGAGGCAGGCTGGTAGGGAGGCAGGCTGGGCATGTGCCCAGGAGCACAGGTGGGCCAGGCAGCTAGTTTCTGACCACTAGCATGTTACATCTGGGTGATAGGGTGGCTTGAGGACAGGTGAGGGTGACAACTCTGTGTGGGATAGGAGCCAGGCACAGGGTTCAGCTTCCGGCTCTGGACTGCCCTTCTTTCTGCTGAAAATCCTGAGATGTACTTGAACATGGATGTCCTTCTCATCAGGCTAAAGGGGAACTTCTGATCAAGCTTCAATGCTGCTCGCTCTACCTCACTGGGCAGTTTGAGTGTTAATTAATTGTGACAGCTTCAGGGTAGATTGAATGTGTGTTACTTAACTTTGTGTGCCAGTCTCCTCATCTGTGATCCTGACCTCTCCTTCCATAGTGGCTTGCCAGTTGCTCAGGAATAGGCAGGGCCATGTGTACTGTTTTTTGCTTACATTGTCTTCAAGAGCTATTAGCACATAGGTTTCTCTCATTCTTTCTAATGACTGCATACTGTTTAGCAGTTTATTTAACCAGTTTTCTACTGAAGTACTTTTAAATTGTTTAAAAGTGCTTTTTTGGTTGTCTTTTGTTAAAAATACTATAGAAGTAAACACCTTAGAGGCTAAATCTCGGGCCATACTATTCAAAGTGTGTCTGTTGGGTAATTTCCTAGCTTAGGAATTGTTGTGTCAGCACATATATACTATATTTAAAGTTGATGTGCCTAACTCGTCCCACCCTCATCACTAAGCACATACTTCTTCTACCCTCAAATTATACTTTTCCCCAAAACTGTTTATGATTCTTTCTTTCTTCACATTACTTATGTCAACATTTTTGCAAGTCTAACAGGTTCCTAGATATTTATGGTGTTTCCTTTAATGATATTTTGCACACGTCCAGAAACAGTTGTGGATTGCACTATGCTTTTTATTTTTCCAAAGCCCTTGTTTTGTAACCTCTTTTTGTCTTTTCCAAACCAGTAATGCTTAATGATGTATCTTCAGAAAGTAGTCCACAAAACTTGATACTTTACTGAGTTACTACTAGGAGTCCATTATTCTTAAACCTTTTGCTGTCATGGCTTCTTAAAAATTACTGGGAAATGGGGGAGACCTGTGGCTCAGTGGGTAGGGCGCTGGCCCCATATACCAAGGGTGACGGGTTCAAACCTGGTCCCAGCCAGCTAAAAAAACAAAACAAAACAAAAAAACAGCAGTGACAACTACCAAAAAAAAAAAATTACTGGGAAACCCAATGTGCTTTTGTTTGTATGTACTATATCTATATTTACTGACTTTAAATGAAAACTGGGAAAAATTACATTAGCCATTAGAACAGTGACATAATCACATGGCACATAGACTGTAAAATGTCACTGCACTCTCATGAGAGAAGGAATAGATGACAGCTAACTTCTTTGTATTGTTATGAATGTAATTTTGACCTCCCAGAGTCTCTCATAGAATCTCAGTGACTTTCAGGGATTCCTAGACCAATTTTGAGAATTGCTTTTTATTTATTTATTTTTTGCTTGAATTGCATGTTGGTAATATCCAAATTAAAGGAACTCGAGTCTTTAAAAAAAAAAAAAGACAGAATCTCTGTCACCCTGGGGTTGAGTGCCATGGCATCATCACAGCAACTTCAAACTCTTGGATACAAGAGATGTTCATGCCTCAGCTTCCCTAGTAGTTGGAACTACAGATGCCTGCCACAACACCTGGCTGATTTTTCTATTTTTAGTAGAGACAGGGTCTCACTCTTGGCTAAGGCTGGCCTCAAACTCCTGAACTCAAGCAATCCAGCTGCCTCAGCTTCCTAAAGTGCTAGGCTTACAGAAATGAGCTGCTATACCTGGCCTGGTAATTGAAACTTTCATTGTTGGAAATAGTATGTGCATCATTAATTGATTTTTTTTTTTTTTTAAAGAGACAGAGTCTCACTTTGTTGCCCTCAGTAGAATGCTGTGGCATCACAGCTCACAGCAAACTTTCAGCTCTTAGGTTTAGGCTATTCTCTTGCCTCAGCCTCCCGAGTAGCTGGGACTATAGGCGCCTGCCACAACACCCAGCTATTTTTGTTGTTGTTGTTGTTGAAGTTTGGCTGGGGCCAGGTTCAAACTCACCACCCTCAGTATATGGGGCTGGTGCTCTACTCACTGAGCCACAGGTGCTGCCTTTCTCCTCTTTTCTTTTTTTTTTGAGACAGGGCCTCAAGCTGTTACCCTGGGTAGAGTGCCATGGCATTGCAGCTCACAGCAACCTCTAACTCTTGGGCTTAAGTGATTCTCTTGCCTCGGCCTCCCAAGTAGCTGGGACTACTGGCGCCTGCCACAACACCTGGCTTTTTTTTTGGTTGTAGTTGTCATTGTTGTTTTGGCAGGCGTGGGCTGGACTTGAACCTGCCAGCTCTGGTGTACGTGGCTGGTGCCTTAGCCGCTTGAGCTACAGTTGTTGAGCCTCATTAATTGATTAATTGAATCCCAGCAGCATTTATACGTGTACTTTTTGTCTTGGGTTTCACTATGATATAGAAAGACCAAAAACTTTATTTATATTTACTCTTTTATTAGACAAGTAGAACCTCCATAGTTAACCACTTCTTCAAGTTGACCTAATTTTCATAGACTGGACATGCACCACATGTACAGATCAGTACAGTAGGCCTAGTTCCTGATGTTGATCACTTCTGTATGTTGTCAGGTTTGTTACAGTCCCTTGGGTGGTCAACCTTCTGAGGTTCTACTGTATTTAAAAGCAATCAGAACCTTGAGTTTGGGAGTATACTTATTGGTTGGTCTCTTTTTAATGATCTTCAAAAATAATTTTTATCAGCTATTTCTTGAGCGAGAGCGAGCAGCCCAGTTGGCAGAAAGTAAAACAGATGAGTTGATCAGCGATGCTCCCACCACTCAGCATGATAAGAGTGGAGAGTGGCAAGAAACAAGTGGAGAAATACAGTGGGTGTCAACTGAAAAAACTGATGGTACAGAAGAGATACATAAGAAGGAGGAGGATGATGAAGAACTTGACCTCAATAAAGGTATATTTATTTTGAATAGTGTAGTCAAATTGAGCACTACAGTTTGATTTTGTTTGCTTATTCAAAGCATTTAATTTGATTATTATAATCCACCTTTTGTTTAGGGCCTTTCTAGTTCAGTCCAAACAGGCTTTGATACTTCAGTATTGTAGTGATATTTCCTAGCAGTTAGGACAGTGGATGTCGGTCCCACATGCTAGTGACAGAAAAGATAAAGTCAGTGGTTTTAATGAGTAGGGCACCAGCCCCATATACTGAGGGTGGCGGGTTCAAACCTGGTCCTGGCCAAACTGCAACAAAAAATCGCTGGGTGTTGTGGTGGGCGCCTGTAGTCTCAGCTACTTGGGAGGCTGAAGCAAGAGAATCACCTAAGCCCAAGAGCTGGAGGTTGCTGTGAGCTGTGACGCTATGGCACTTTACCGAGGGCGACAAAGTGAGACTCTGTTCTCTAAAAAAGAAAAAAAGATAAAGTCACTTTTTCCTTCCTTAGCCCCTCCTTTCCTTTGCTTATCTGTTAAAAGTTTTATCAGTTTCATTTTAAACCAAGTTCTATTGTTATAAGTTCTAGGAATAGTTTTTTTTTAAAGGGTAAGTACTAGGTGGTAAACACAGTAAGAATTACATTAAAGGTGGTATCTTCATTAATCAAATCTTTATTGAGTATCTCCTATTGTCAGTAATTTTGATAATTACTTTTCCATTCGTATAAGTTCTGCAGAATAGCCATTTGTAGCTTGTTATTACTAAGGTTATGAAATTTATATTGTCAGTCCTCTACATACATGGGTTCTGCATCCTCAGAGTCAACCCACAACAAATCTAATACACTGTTTACATTGTATTGGGTATTATAAGTAATCTAGAGGTGATGTAAAATATACCAGAGGATGTGCATAGGTTACATGTGAACACTGTGCCAGTTTATATCAGAGACTTGAGTATCCTCAGATTTTGGTATGGGAAGGGTTCTAGAACCAATGCAGATTCCAAGGGGTGATGGCAGTATGTTCAGCTTTACATTCCCAGGAAAACTCAGCAGTATCTTGTTCTGAGTTCCTCCCCAAATCTAGTGCTATTGTGTTAAGACATTTGATTCTTCCTCAGTTTCTAGGTTTTAATGTTTGAGGTAGGGGGACATAATGATATTTTTAGTTGTTTAGCAGTCTTTTCAAAACTGAACAGTTTTAATATATTCACAAGATTGTACAACTATCATAACTGTCTAATTTCAGTTCTATTTTTTTATCTCCCCTGAGAGAACCCCACTAGCAGCCATCACCCCTCCACCTAGCCACTGGCAACCACTAATCTACTTTCTGATCTATGGATCTGCCTGTTCTGGACATTTCATATAAAAGAAGTCATATGTGACTGACTGCTTTCAAATAACAAAATGTATTCAAAGTTTATCAATGATACAGCAAATGTTAGTACTGTAGTCCTTATTATAGCCAAATAATATTCCATAGTATTTTTACACCACATTTTGTTTTATCTTTTTCTCCATTGATAGGTACTTGTATAATGTCTATTTTTTAGCTGTTTTGAATTCTCTTACTATGAATAATTGTGTACTTTTTTGTAGATACATTTCTCTTGGAAATAAACCTAGGAATTAGAAGTGTTGAATTATATTAACTCTATATTTAACATTTTAAGAAACTGCCAAACTGTTTTCTATTGTGACTACACTATTTTATATTTATATCAGCAATGTATGAAGGTTCCTCCATTATTTGTCTTTTGAAAAAACTTTAGGTCGTTGCTGTGGATGTAAAATGGTGATGCATTGTGGTTTGATTTGCAGTCCTCTTACGGCTAGTGATGTTGGACATCTTTTCCTGTGCTTATTAGCCATTTGTATATCTTTTTCTTTTTTTTTTTTTTAAGAATGTCTATTCAGTTGCTTTATCTAGTTTTTAGTTAGGTTGTCTTTTTGTTGTTGAGTTGTAAGCATTCTTTATATATTCTAAATACTTAACCCTTACCAAATAGAAGGTTTGCAAATACACTCTCCCATTAAGTGGGTTGTCTTTTTACCTTGTTAATGGTGTCCTCTGTAAC